TGTCACAGAGCCGTAAAAGCCGACTCGACGGCGCTTTTGCAATTCGCGCGCTAACCACCATCGAGGCCCGTAACGGCCTCGCGCACTTGTCGACTTTTTTGTCATGCGGCGTGTTATCATCGTGCGATCGATCTCGTCCTTCGACGAAGCCGAGTCATAGCTGTCTCGTCGCTCATATTATCTGAATTAGACAGGTGACTTTCGTGTGTACGCTCGATGAAGATTACTTATCTACAAAAGTACAAACATAAAAGGAGCGCAAATACTTCATTTGGAAAAATGAAAACTGCATTGTTTTTTTTGCCGTGGCGCGTGTTAAAAATGAACGGTTCTGCATGGATTGCAGATGACACGCTATCGTATCAGGCACTACCTCCTTCGCGTTTTTAGCGCTGTGCACGTTGGTGCCAGGCAACAGCACGCTGGTCTTCGCGAAAATAAGCCTGATGGCGCCGTTTTCGTAGCGTGAATCATTTTTTTTCCCTCGGTTGGGCCGTTAACGCTGAATTTGCATTTCTCTTCGCGAAGGATAAAGTAGCGATTACCGTGCAGATTTTCGATTTTAATGCGCGCTAATATCTCGAAAAGAAAATTTCTCGATGTAACGAAATGTAAAAGTATGAAGAGAGCGCGAAACATCGGCGGAGAAACAAAAACAATGGAGAGCGAGCTCCGTATTGAGGAGATCCGCTTTTATGCGGCCTCAAGAATATATCTTATATTGATCGTAAAATTCATACAGATGAGAGAACGTGGGAAATCTTTATTCTACGGTAATCTCGTGGGGGCTCGCGGCGAAGAAAGAGCGCGCGAATGCACCATTACTCGTATGCATCTCGCGAGTTAATCCCATCTGCGACGTTGGCTCGTAAATAAGCGGTCATTACCAAAGAGAAGATGATCTTGCGGTCGTGTACGCATCCCGGCCATCGATCCGCGCGTAAAGCACGCGCTCTACGGCGACGGGAGGTAAAAATCTCGCGAAAATTACGAAATTACGATAGAACACGTATACATGTATTCCCGCGGGCGGGAAGTTACTTTTCGAATCGCTTCTGTTTCGTTCCATTTAATTCACTTGAGCGAGCTGAATCGAGCCGCGCCGCGCCGTTTTATCACCTCGCACGTTCTCCGACGTGCCCTGACCATCCTTGTACCACGAAAGACAAAGCGCGTACGGTATATCGTGAATGCACGGCGATTCGCGTGCGCGAGCATGCGGTAGCACACCGGCAGTCGCAACATTAATAATTCAACAAAGCGCGCGCAGAGTGGCGGGTTTAGGCTTCTGGGCGTTATAAATATTTAGATCGTCGCGGAGATCGCGCGCGCGCGCCCGGAGAATGGAGACGAAAGATTGCGAGGGGGGAGATACGTGGACCAAAGTTAAGAGAGGAAATTACTTGGAATTGTTTGGGATGAAACTGAACGTGCACTAAAGTTACGCTGTAATAACGTAAATTATACAGATAAGTTGTGCAAATTATGCACGTAAGTTATACAGATCGCTCGAAAAAGGTAGCGAGTCAATACCTAGTTTTTATAATTAATATACGGTATGCTAAAATATAATAGAACTCGCTGTGTAGAGATTCGTAGCGAGTATCGTTAAATATTCAAGGTAAATGTGATTTTCACGTTACATATAAATAAATTTTCGAATGGGATTACGTTATTAGATATCGATGACGTGTTTGCTATCCGTCTCATAGCTTCCTGTTAATTTCCGCGAACAGAACGATTGCGCGGATAAACGCAATAATTGTTGCAATTATTCTCTTACTTTATATACGTGGCAAAAAGGAATGGAGTACTGTTGGCTGCCGTGACTATCGGCAGTTATAAACTGGCTTTTTCTACGCGCGATATTTATACAAAAATTCAATATTACAATCTTTTATTTTTTTTTTGCAGAAATTGCTTTCAAGATAAACATTATCTCGCGTTCTTCGAATTTATTTTCTCGCCGATGTCCGGAGTGATTGTGTCCGATTGTTTTCTTCATTATGTAGAAATGAAGTAACTTGTGTGTCAATTAAATCACTTATTTATGTACACTATGTGTGTGTACGTGTATATCGAATGCAGACATTTTATAATGAAGGCATAAATATATGTTTCTGAGGTACCTGCATACAGCTCTCACGTCTAACAATAAACAAGCTAAACGGTATTGACTAGTCTTCAGAAATCAATAGCAACGTTAAATCCTCTCAGTCTGCCTTCTTCACTTTCGGAAGTAACGAATTTATCGTACACTGACAGGAAAAAATGGTTGCAGTTACCACAATCCCACTATAATTTATAGTCATTTTAGGAGCCAACCACATTTTTATAATTCTCCCAACTACGTAAGTTATGGTTGACCTAACAATGTATTATAGTTGTCATAGACACAATATTGATCCATGCAATTTATGATATGGTTGTCATAAACCAAAACGAGCTTTTAATTTGGTAAAGTGAACTATAAATATTGCAACAACAAATAGAATTTCAAATAATTATATGTAATAGTAATAATCGTATTTATATTGGAAGTAATATTGTCCGTTTTTTATCATACATACATTGCGTTCATTATGTTCATTAGTTACATCACTTTGCACTCATAAAGAATAGTACAAGAAAGCCTCTTTCAAAGAAAAAAATAAGTAATCTTATACGAATGTATAAACTTATCCGTATTTATAACACCCTGTTGTTTTCTTCTTTCGAGAAAGTCTTATACCGCGCGTCCCTCTAGTGAGGACATTTCGAGCCACTTCACCTTTGTTTACCGTGTGATTACTAAGGTGGATGATAAAAATGTAGTTAAATTTACTATTATTGTGATTGTATTTACTATATAAAAATAATTAACTAATTTACTGTTTATTACCTGGATATTTTAACAGAATAATAGTTAAAAGTTTATATTTTATAGTAAATTTTTTAAATAATTGGCATCACTGTGTCTAGATGGTTGCTATTACTAATATTATAGTAATAATTACTATAAAAATGACATTCCTGACTATAATTATTGTACTATGAGATTGTAGTTTCAAATACTAGATATTTTTCTATCAGTGTACAAAGATCTTTTACATTTTGCAATATTTTTCGAACGTTGTCACGCAAATGTAAATCCGTTGATGAGATAAACAGAACACGTACAAGTTAGTAACCAAGTTTAAAAGATTATGTTCTCTTCATTCGCATAAATTGTGTTATTTTACATTTATCACCGGTTATAAAAGTGTCTTTGTAGTATACTTTTTTGTGAAAGTCTCGTATGTGATTCGCCGAGTCTTGCAGTAAAGGGTATAATCAACCGCCGCTGATCGTGGTAAAAGTGCAGCGTTAATATCAAAACCTAAATGCAAAGTGTTACGTGTAGGTTATACTTTGACCTAAGTGTTACCTTGAAACCATCATTAATCATGCAATAACAGGTTTATAAAAATCACATATTAACATATATGTCCCGGATGTCGGAAGATTTGAAAAATTCCGTTAGCTGATCGACATATCCTCTTTGTGATGCACGGGGGATAACTGTATCACTAATCTGGTTACATTGACTCGGCAGTAAACTCAGACCCGGGGACAATTAGCAGCTCGGTATTGGAGAACGAGCAAGGGCGACCGTAAATTTTAAGGAGACAGAAGTAGCGTGTTCTCTTCGCAGAGAGATTCTCCAACGGCACGTCGCCGAGTGCTACAACTCGTCCGAGGCTTTTCCACGACTTACGCAATAGGAAAACGCGCGTATGAAATAAACGCGCGAATGTGTTTGCGTAATCGCGCTAATGCACCGTGAGACCGAAACGTCTTTCTCACTCTTACACTTTTATCGTATATATTAGCGATAGATCTTTTATATATTACGTTATATTACTACATTACAAGCTTAACTGACGTATTATTACCGTATTGATTCTCTTTTCCATGCGAGAGTGTATTTCTTATTATCCCCTTCGATATTTCATTCGTGAGATCCCCTCGATAAATTGCTACCCTGACGCGACCTTTCTTATTTCCTGACCTCGGAACCTTGACCCAGACTTTCTCTCATGACAATCGATCAATCAAATCGTAAACTACCTGAACTATGATACTGATTAATCGCGCGATCTCGTAACCTCCCGCGGTAATTAATTGGCGGCTATTTTTAACTCGCGCATCTCGTAAGATTATTCATATCCCGCGTACGATCGGGACACCCGGCGCGTTATTACTCGCGAATTAACTGTTAACTCAGCTGATCGCTCCGCGTCATCGGACGTCGGTCAGCGACGCCAGCAAAGCAGAATTGTAAATCTTCGCGCTGAAAAAAAACTGCTTACTGCCACCACACGGTTTCCAGTTCGCGACACGTATGGATCAAGTCTCGCGCGCGTATAATAATTTTTTTCGCCGCGGTAATTGTAAATTAAATTGTTGCTGGAAATTGGTTCGTCTTGCGGACGGTGGGATTGAGCGATTGCGAGAGAGTCAATTATACAGCGAAATGCTGATTTCCTCAAGGTTCAGGAATTACGGGGTCCCGCATTGCCGTTGCGTAATGCTCGGTCGAACGATAATCCGCCGGTTATTACCGTACCGTTGAAAAGTGTTTCCCTATTAGAGGTGGCCTCTTACGTCGCTAACGTATTACATCCATCCGGCGTAAGAGCGCGAGATCGATCGTGGTACGTTACACGGTGGTAAATTGAAGTTCAATACGGTCACGATGGAATCACTCGGCGAAATGCGCGCTTTTGCCGCGTCATAATCTGTCTTTTTGCCGCGCGCAGTTTCATTTCCTCTTTCTCTGATCGATGTCGATCATTTCGCCGTAATGCGACGGTACTTTCTGAGTTTCACCCACGTCCATTCCACGGAGGACGGGATCCGTTAAAATAAAATGATTTCGCCTATAGAGGAAACTTCTTTGTCTCGCTTACAGGGGAAAGGGGTAGGGTCCACAAGTACTTTCTTTCTAACCCGGTTTTTTGTCTTTCTCTTGCTTTCAGACGTCTCATGGACTGAAGTACCGTCCTCGGAGGGAACGCGAGCGTAGGCCACGCAAATCAGCCTCTGGAAGTTTCGCGAGAGAGATTCGGTAAAATAGCGCGTGCGGTAACGATGTGAAGGAAAATGTGATTCGATCGGCGATTGCGTGACACGGAAGGAAAAGAGAGGAATAAACTGTAATAGCAGAGACTGCGATAAAGAGCGGGAGAAGCGGAAGATACGGAGAAGGACGAGCACTGTGTACGAGGTACAAAGCTGGAAGAAAGAAGAGGAGAGAGACGCGCTGCCATCGATCGCATCCGATCGGGTTAAAACGCCTCTCTCGGCCGATCGTTTTCTCCGTGGAAGGTACGTCAGAGAATCGTCCTCTATTCCCCTCGAGCTCGAATCTCGATAGATCGCTTCGGCGCGGCGGCGCGGCCGACGCCTCCTGCCTACTTTCTATCGCCCTGAAACGTATCCCGAAGTGCACCGCCTCGGTAAAATTCTCCGAGAAACGAGTTTTACGGCCGATTCTCTCACGGCGGAACGCGACGAAACGAGCGTAATTACGCGAGGATAGTGCGCGCGCGATCTACTCTCGTGCGCCGCCTTTTTTTTCCCCCCTCGTCGCCTCCTTTCTTTCTTCGCTGCGCCGGAGAAGGAAAGAGCCTCGGAAAACGGGAACGCCGGGAGTGCCGTTTAATCGGCGAACAATCGATCGAGCCGAACGATCGATTCGGCGAAGACGCGATCTCGGAACGATACCATTCATTCGATAGAGAGATTATCGCGCGGCGATTCCATTATTGGCGTAAGAGATTCGTAGGACGAAATTTGAAGCGAAGGGATCGTGACACACTTATTTTCGCATGGCGTTGCCGATCGTAATGCGAAAGAAATTCGCGACGAAGGGGTCGGATTAAAAGAGAAGATTTGCCGAACGGGATAATTGCAATTAGCGACCGACCGTATTTTCGTTTCTGTTGCGTTTCGCTCTTTCAAGACAAAGGGTGGCGAGTCGATCCGCGCGGAGCGATTTACGCGATCGGGGATTAAAACAAACGGGGCTTTGATGACAACGGGCGCTATTTCCTTTTACAGCGTCGACGATTGCTCTCGCCGCTTCGAGGGAGGAGGGTGGTTCGACGAGGTCGCGAAATAGGCGAGGGTACCGTCTCTCTGCGAAAAAGAGGAAAGGCGAATCGGAAGGGGGAGAGAAGAGTGTAGATATCCCGCCGGTCCATCGCGCACTGTTTATTCTGGGAATCGAGCCGAGCACCCGAGCGGTCTCGATACACCCGTGCGATTGCTCTACGAAAACGAAAGAAGGATTCCGCAAGGATCGGACGGAAGGGAAACAACGTGCGCGACGAAAAGAGAGATGTACCGGGAGCCGAGCAGTTCATCGGGCAGCGGCGCCTCCACCAAGGGCGACGAAGTCGAGCTCGTCAGTAGATTCCTGGCGCCGCTCTGCGCCAGAGACGAGGCGGCCAGGAACATCGCCCTGGCCGCAGCCAGGACCACCGTCGAAGGATGGCTTGGCGGCGTCGGCAGTCCAAGTCGCTGGGAGGACGCCGGGGACATCGAGGACACCAAGAGCGCGAGCGGCAAGTTCTCCAGCCAAGACGAGAGGTAAGTAGAGAGATTTGGTTATGGAAAATGTCGCTCACTCTGGTAAAATTAAATCAGATCGATGCAAGCGAACACTCGATATGCGATGCCTTTCTTTATTTATTTTTCATTCAACCTCGTTGTTTCTATAAACAGAATTTACATTGTTGTTCGTTGGGTAATTTGTTCGCTGGCAATGTTGTGAATTAATTTTAATCACGATTACATAGATTGATCCCTAACTTGGAGACCGTATAATATTCGTCGTTGCCTTTGTACATTAATTCGTTAAATATTTAGTTTAATTGATACGTTGTAATAAATTCGATCATTCCATTTTCCACCTTGTTGAATAAATACGGACACGCTAGAGAGCATTAAAATTATACAATTTGTTGCACAAGCTTGTTTATCAGTATCAATTACCTGGACCATTGATTAACAATTAATCAATTAACGGTTATCAAATAACAAATAATATATGCGGTATATTGTGCAATAAATACTTCCTAAAATAATCTCGCTTCGTGTATCATAATTTCGATCGAGCGGACATATTTAATCGGAGTAAACATTTCGTTCCGTGCGCTCTCCGTCTCTCTCTCTCTCGTCAAATTATTGGTTCTGGATTTAATATTAGCATTCAGTCACGCAAACACGTAAAACCCAGTTGCAAACGCGGTATTTAAATAATCACGGGCGGTTCATTAAAATGTGCACGTTATGAGGATTAATAACAAGCACGGAAGGAGATATTATATTCATTTAACCGTAACTAGGACCGAATGTTGCGGCGGTTTCCTGCATCTTGTGCCTCTTTTTTTTTTAAATGAAATTTGCACAGCACTTGCTTCCGTTTCAACTTGCTAAAATCACTACTCGCCCAACGATTTTAACTTTCAAGTAATCTGGAGAGAAAGTTTATAATGGATTATATAATGCTGGAAAGACTGAATACTGAAAATTGACGAAATTAAAAACTATCGTATCGAAAAGTGTCATGAACAAAAGAGACGTCTCGCGGCGAAATAGACGAGTGATACTGCTTGTTTATCGATCACAACAAATTTGAATACTATAATAGGGATTTTGTGAAAACGAGCAGAAATTGATCTCCTTTCAATTTTTTAATTCACAATTTATCATTGAACGGGACCATTAAAAATTACTTAATAAACGATTGCTTCTGTCACGACTTATTTGATAGTAAGAGAAAGGGTGTCCCCTCGAAAGATTTATAAGCCAAACACGTCCACACTCCCGTTATCGACCTCTAATCGATAATATTCGTGTTTCGGTGAAGATACGATATGAGCGTCGAGCGGTCGCCGACGAGATCGTCACCGAGGAGCGTGCACCAGCAGCAGCTGCTGCACGACACGTTCCGGACGGAGGGCTTCTTCCCGCAGAGCATCAATGACAACCCCGCGTTCCTCGAGGAGAATCCGGAATGCTCGTACGACTGCGTGGACGGCCGTCTTCTGAACGAGAGGCGATTCCGCGAGCGATACGCCGGCGGCGACGGCGTCGAGAGCTGCAGGTCCGGTCACTCGACGTCCTCGGACGAGGGTAGTAAGAGTTTCAATGTCGAGGGCAGGTGCCCGCGCTTCGGCTCGAACAGCGAGACCGAGAGGAAGCATCCTTGTTCGTCGTCGAGCGACAGGTCGACGAGCGACGACTATTGTCCCGGCAGGGCGAAGAACAATTACGTGAAGGTGAAGGGCGCCAAGCAGAAGCAGCTGGAAGATGACGAGCTTGACGCGGACACCCGGGTGTATGGCAAGAGTCCGAAATTCGATGACAACCTGAGCGGACTCGCGTCATTCGACTGCCGGAGTCTGAATCGCCGAGCCAAGATCGCCGCCGGCGGCGACCTGCTAACGCACGAGCAGCGCCGATACTACGACGGCGGCACCGACGACGACGTCTCCTTCAACGAGAGCGAGGCAGCGCGCAGCGACGGGGTCGTCTTCAACACTCTCGACGGCTTCGAGAACGAGAACGAGCCTTCCTACCGCCAGGACATGAACCTGGAGAATCGCGAATCAGCGGTCTACGATGACATACCGGAGGATTCTCGCCGGGCGCAGCAGGATTATTTGCGCAAGAACGATGAGAGGAAGTTTAGCGCCGGTCAGATCAAGCGGCCGCTCTCGCAGGACGAAGACGTGTCCTCGAAGAGCGGCCGGGTGCTCGAGAGCCCGGAAGTGACACCCGGCGACGTCGGCAGGCTGCTGAATCTCGGTAACGCGTTGGACGGACCCAGGCAGGCGCAGGCTAACAAGTATCTCAGTCTGGTGACGTTGCATCTGCCGGTGATACTCAGGCTCAGCGTTAACTGTCCCTTCCAGAACGTCAGGATCAAGTGCGCGGAGATCCTCCAGATGGTGAAGGTAAGTGGTGAAAATTATTTCAGATTTCTCGGATTTCTCTTTCGGATTTGGCTGATGCGCCAAATAATATACGTCTTTCGCGCTTAAATAAATCGGCGTTAACATTAATTGGCAACTATCTCAAATTAGATTTCAAGGTTGATGCTATTTTATAGTCTTATATTTCAAACTGGTTCTGGTCATATTTTTTATGAGTTAATTTTTAAAAAAATTCTTTTATTAGATTCCGTTTACTTCTTTTAACTTAATTTTAAATTAGTCTTCAATTAGTTGAAGTAGTTTTCGCAAAACACAGAAATCCCATTGTCTCGCCGTCGGTTCTCTCAATTTTTAAGAGATGCAGGAAGTTGCAAGTAAAAAAAGACAGCTTATCGTTATTGTCCATGATTATCTATGTGTGCAAACTCTCTGACGGGAATTAAATATTCCACTGTGTGCCTTGAGTCAGAGCACACGGAGACATGCCGACATTCCGGAAGAGAAAAAAAAAAATCTTCGCGAAACGACCGATGCGAAAGATAACGGATAGCCTAGATGCGGTGACGGCCGTGCAAAGTTTCGCTCGCGAAATCTTGGGAGAGCAGACGTTAGCACAGTTGTGAAGTTTACACTCTCGCGTGCACTCGGCCGAAATTCTTTCGCAACGATTCCACTGAAGTTTGCATTCGCCCGAACATTCCTCGCTGAGTATCCACGCGCTTGAAGTTCATTAGGCAACACGAGGCAAAGTTGAAAACGTATAGTGGACAAACACAACGAGCATACCGACACGTACATACGTGAGGATATCTCAAAAATATCACACCTGTTCCGCTGGACGAATCGTCTATTTTTGCGAGAAGAATAATATGAAGTTATCACAGTGCCACGAGTCAAAATTTAGTGGAAAGTTTATTTAAAAGTTCTTTTAATTAACTTTTATTTTTGTTAAAATTGAAAATAAAAAAAGACGAAGATTATCCATGTAATTCTGGAGCAATCGCGATTTTCTTCAGCTCGGAATTCCGGTATTCTTGGCTCGGGGAGCAAGTGCGATGTAATTCTGCGATACCCTGTGTACATTCCGCGGCTGAATTGAGACTGTCCAGAATATTTCAAGCTTTATCTCTTCAGCTTTACGGCAATTTATCCGAGTCCTTCGCGAAGAGTAACTACCGAGTGCGATTCTTACGCCGCTGTAACTTTGTATCTCCGCTTTTAATGCGCTGCTACTTCATAGGCCGAGATAGGCCCCTTAATAAATAAACTATTACGAGAGTCGCGTTTAGAGACTCTAATGCCAGCTGTTCGGGCACTATTTCGCGATCGAAAGTAGCCGCTGACTTTTGGCACAAAACTTGATTCCTTTGAAGAAAAAATTTCGCGTACTTTGATCTTATCTTACCGCAACTAGTTGTCGGGATATCTTGAAAATTTTCGCCTAGACTAGTTTGAGATGTAGTTCTGGACGGCGGTTGACGACTGGACGGAATAATCACCTTAATTTATAAGCTTGAAAATGAATACGTGGGAATAATCTGACGAAGGATGTGCTTATGCATAAAAGATAAACCGGAGTAACCGTCGGCTATATATTAATGGACTTGTTTTGACTGGCTATTTGGGGAGGCGTTTGAACTGCGGCCTAAAAATATCTCGCACCTAGGCAGTTCGCGGTTAAAGCAACTTCTGCCTATCACAGAGTTGCTGTTTCTGTACCTACGAATTCTGTGCCGGTCGTTAATCTTAGTTGATTTTTTCCACGGAAAGAATTAACACGGCAATTTGATTTAATTCGTGCTAGGGGCGTTGAAGGAAATACTTCAATATAATTTGGCAATATAATTTTGTCCGTGTCAAACACAAGCGAACAATAATAAACATTCAAACGGGCGATCGAAACAGTGTAAGATAAAGATGATGATTAAAAGACATTTTTGGTTGTAGCAATTTTGTATTATCTTAGTGTCACTCTTTCTCTCGGATTTTACGTTCACAAGGACATCACAAAGTAATATACTCGGGCCTTGTTCGTCTCTGGTAGTAGAATGAAAGTAGACCGTAAAAATAATCGGCTATCTTTGAGCTCTCAAGATCAAAGTAATGTATTGTACTATGTCTCTTTGTCATCTTTTTAATATTACTCTCAGAAAATACACCGTTATGCATTACCGTGATCAGTTTGTGTATAAATAATAAAAGTTTAACAAGAAAGAAGATAAAGCATACGCATATATTTGTTTGTAACTAATCCAGTTTCAATAGGTTTGAATATGTGAACATATATTATTCGCACATTCACAAGTTATTTACTGGCGAAGAAAGGATTGTTACTCGTGCTGATATACTATTTAATTTTATATACCCACTCGCGTAATTTCACTCATTTTCTAATAATATAAATTGCATAACAGTGACTCCGATACATTCAAAAGTATGCGTATACGCTATATCTTAAAATTATATTTAGAGTCTAATGATAGGGGAAATGAAACAGATGAAAGTAGGATAGGATGACATGCCAATTTAGATTGATATTTTATCCGCTAATAGCAAGACAAAAAATGTAAATTGCACACGTAGACGCGAATAGAATTCACCATTCTGCTCACCGATATTGTCGCACTCGAGGTCAATCGATACGACTTGTGTGTAAAGCTTTATACATAGTGTAGAACGATTTTCAGGCATAAAGCCGGCAGGAAGCCAGAAAAAGAAAAGGAGGCTTTACACATAAAACACAGTGTATCGTATCGCGACATCGATAATCGCGTGTAATTTGCGAAATATCTCTAATTATCCTACCTCTCTGTACGATCGAATACATCTGCGGAGACGAAAATGTTCTCCTATCTTTATTTTCTAACGTAGAAGATAAATGCCATTTGCAAATGCGGAATTTTAGTGGTAATTCATAATTTTATTAATAAACAAACACTCTCTTTGAAAATTTATATTTCTTTTCGTGTGAAATATAATTATAATTACTCAAAATTTTTTAAAATAAAGATATGGAGCACTGCCAGATATAATGCAGTCATAAATTAAAGTATTAATTTGATATCCATTTATTAATGTTGCTTCTCTCAGTCTTTTATTTCTGAATTAAATGCAGTTTTTAACGTAAAAGTTAGCGATGCTTCTAAAGAGAGAATTGTATTATATTTTAATTAATTAATATCGGAAAAGTACATGAAAAATTTTAATTATATTTTATTATAAACGATAAAAATAAAATTTTTAATTACGAAAGTTAAATTGTTGATCACATCATTCGATATTTACTCTAACATATTTTTTATTTTTGTTATAACGAATTTTTTTATTAATCTTGTTTTTCATTGCAACGAAAATATATTAAAAATACATTTCGTAAAAAAAAACTGAAGAGAAGCTTCAATTTCGCGCAAAAAGCACGTGCAAAAATTTCGCCCAACGTGGGGCTCGAACCCACGACCCTGAGATTAAGAGTCTCATGCTCTACCGACTGAGCTAGCCGGGCTGATAGGAGAGCATTTTCTCTTGTACGTTTTCAGAGTGAATTAGGCCCAAATACAATGAAATCTTAAATTTGTTTTTTTTTTTTCATTACAGGAGAGAGGCCTTCCAGTACCGGTGCCGGCTTTCGATGGACCTAGTGCCTTCGTCCCTCTCTCGGAGGTAAGTACTTTTGCATGCGTCAATCGCCTTTGTAGATTAGTATGCCAGCTTATGTTTACGACCGTTTCAATGAGCGTTTATTGAAGTTAACCGAGGCTTAACCCGCTCTTCTGCATCTTTCCGGTCGTACTTTTGAGAAAGAGACCAAGATTTTAATTGTGGTTAGCGTTTATTGACGTTTGTGTGGTTTTAATGCAACTTTGATGCATTAAACTTGTCATTGATGCAGCATTACGATTATCTTATGTTAAAGCACTTTGCAATTCGATGCCACATTCGTATAATGGCACTTTGCGATAAATAAAAGTAATTACGTGTATTAAGTGATAAAGCGATGCTGAAGAATATTTAAAATATAATTAGTTTTATTTACAAGGATAAATGTCACGTTTGTAAAATAATGTGATTATTATTATAATTTATTATGAAAAATTCTGTTTTTAACCTTGATATTTATTTTAATTTGCTAGAACGTTAAATGCAATCTTGTTAAAAATTATAAACGCTAACTGTTTCCTATGGATAATAAAATGCGCGATCGGTAGTGCATTAAAGTGAACGTGTGGCTTTTCTGCTTTAATTTTTTTCTTCGGTCAGAGATAGTTTATTTCGCTCACGTTCAGCCACCGCAAAAAGTAGGACATGAAAAACGAATCGGTTGATGTTCCCGCGAAATCTGGGCCATCACATTAGCTACGTCAATGATTTCGCCAGCTGATTGGCAGTGGTCGGTAACGAGTCAGCTGTGACGATTGGCGCACGTTGTACCGGATATTAAATCGGTCTAACGCTCACTTGTCCCCGCGGTGACCCTTAATTTATTTTAATTATTCGCCACTGGTATTGTTTGCTGAAATGTACTCCTTGCAATTTGTCTATGAAGGAAACTACATTGCCGATCGAGTCGACGCGTCTCGATAGATTTTTCCGAAAATATTTTCATTTCCGAAAAACTTTTGCCAACGCGAAAAGAATTACCCGGAAATCGTAATTAATATCGTTTGAATAGATTACCTAATTTTCTAATTTTTTATTTTACGCGCTTTTTGGTTGATCGTTATATTCATTAGACGTGCAAATATTAAACAAAGATATTGTTATTCCTGCTCGCTTTATTTTATTTTTCAGGGAATAAATTTTTTTTTATCAATGTACGATAGAAGAGAGGGTATCGGTTGTAATATCGATTGACAGGTGGCGCCAATGATCAAGTTAGCGCGCGGTTCTAAAGCGCGTTGTAATTAGCATATTAGATTAATTAACGCCGTTCGATAAAGTCGGCACGCTCTCAAATATTGAATATATTTTTGCGCTTTTAAAAGCTCCAAAAGTAAACGCAATTTTCAATGATACAAAGAGTTTTAATTAATTATCAGTTGATGTCGATTATTATAATATCGTTTTGTTGCCATAAATTTCAATGTATTTCAATAATGACACTCGAATCGCATTTCACGCTCGAGAATTGCTGACGTAATACGCAGCGCATTGCACACATTAATATGAAACTCATTTTGCACTGCAATTTATGTTATGGCCGCTAATAAACAAGTTTATCGCGATCTATATTTCAAGTGAGATCACGTTCTAGCGATCTATGTTATTATCGGATATAATATTACGTAACGCGATAATTCCTGGATTATAATAGCGATTTTTTTTGCGTGACTTCGCGGATTTTAATAAACGCGATCGTTCTCAATTTAGATAAGATTACGAGTTGTATCTGCCGATGCGCGTGTTGGTCAAAAGGCGGAAATGTATCGGTTTGAATTATCATACAAACGTGCGTCGAGCTCGTAACGAATTCGCACGTGCTGTACAGTGTAGTTATCGGTATATGCTTTTTTGTTGCGCGAGGAGAAAGTAACAAAATATTGCCATTCATAAATAAGTTCGATAACCGTACATACGGCGGAAACAGTGCATTCCAGAATATGTGTGTGAAGTTAAATTCGCGTTTTGTTAGTTCTTCTTCAACACGAAAAACATGTTATACATTTTTTAGTAGAGCTTGCAAATTTTACGATCTTTATTATAAATTAAATTTTGTGAACTTTATTATAAAGTGATTAAAGTGTGTTCTGCGACTGCATCCCTGTAATTAATGGCAGGTAAGTGTAAACGAATGTATAATTTTGTATAAACAAATCGCACACGATGGTTTAGCCGGGTGTAAAAAAATTGTGACGCTTTTATTAATAGTTTGGTAAACAGAATTGTTGATTTTTTTATCACAGAAAAAACGTTTTTATATGGCGATATTTTTCTTTATTATATATAGCACGAAAACAGAATTATTAAAAAATAAAGTGAGTTGGCCAGTAGTTAGTAGAAAAATATAGTTTGAGAGACTTCGTTTCGATACGTAGCATTTCTCGCGGCGACGTTGTCGAGGTACAGCGGTTATTTTTCGTTCAAAATATTATAAAGGACTTTTCGATTAAAGGGTGAAGAATTCTCTCGCGAATAATCCGATATATCTTAAGTATTTTTATCGTAGAAAATCCTCTCGACGTGATATATTGCTTATTGATTCCTCTGTCATCTTTATGCTATCCTGTATATTCTGCGCGTCGCCATACACGAAACTAACTATCGATCATCGAGAATTCGGATATCAAGCGATGACGTATCGCCGTTCGATGATTTTTATCATTTTTTTCAGGTGCGCGCAAGATCTTGCGTAACTGACACGCGATCCATTTGTCATGCGCGCTATATCATGCTCGCGATATCATGCTCGGTATCCTTGAATGCAGGCAAGGATAGGTATTGCAGAAAGAAACCGCACAGCGGATTACGCAAACGCGCCTAACGCCGAAGATATTAACTTGTCAAAATACCACTTTGTAACATATTGATTTCAATCGTATTTTGTCACGCACATAGAGGTATCGTATTAGTGTTTTTGTTCGACGTTTTATCAAGGATAGCGTTGCAACTTATAGATTACATTTCTTAGTACTTCTTTTCTAGTATCCTATTTTTAAGGAATTTTATTGCCCCATTTCACCCGCTGACGCTTTCATCGGATCGAAAATATATCCCTTCTTCTATCTCACATTCTTGTTGGTCAATTTCCAAGGGATATTATCGAACGTTCTACTTTATAGTAGTTCCCCAGGTATCAGGCAACCGATCGTGTATCGAGAATGGCTCGAATAAACGAAGTTTCACTTTATTCGGAAAAGCGATAGTGGCTGTGTCGCGTAGCGCAATTCGGCCCGCTATTTCTCGAAACCGAGTACGATGTGACCAAATTTCTGACACCGCAGCCAATTTGCACGTCATGTTGCAGAAACACTCTGGACTTTTTTTTACGAAAAAATAGGACGCGTGGAATGCGATGGGGTTGAAAACTAACGGGAATCTTGACCGGGTCAATGAATATTATTCTTTGGTCAAGTGACTGCTGATAACTCGTCGTGCCTCGTATACGAGCTCCATTAGAGCCCGAATTGAATCTTCAGTCTCATTTGTTTTCCTTCGTTTCAGGGTACATAATCCGCGCAATCTCGTTGCTAATGCACTTACGAAGATGGACGACGAGTGTCCCATATCTGCGGATCCAATATTTTGTGTTCTGTTTTCGATTCCCAGAATTGCATCACGTGTTTTCTATTTCAAGATTAAAATAACGAAATTACTTTCTACTACTAACACGGGATCTCTCCTGTGGGATATTTATTTCTACAATATATTTTATTGTATTACAATTGGGTTTATTCAAGATTAGGTCAGTAGTCTGTTGTCTTCCGCATATTATTTCTATAAACGTTTTTTTTTCCTTCGTGAGAAGTGACTATTAATTGCGTATTGGAGCGTGGTATACAGCTCGTTTAACTTAGCCTTAAAGCCCATAATACCAGAGCCCTTTGCCGCAAAGGGATAGCGCACAGTTTATTGCGCTAATGACATTAATTAGCCCCTAAACTGGTACCGTTTCGACATCTACGTAAATTTGAAGATATACATAGCTTAATATGACTGAAGATTAATCAATTTAATTGGGCTAGCACTAATTTTGAGAATTAATAGCGAGTTTATCAAGATGTCAATTTATAAATATTTTAAATGCACATTAATTTTGTCAATATAAAGTTTTCATTAATTAGAATGATAATGATTTATTAAAATATCTTTTGTCTTGCAACACGATATCGGTTGGGGCGGAAGAAAAATTAGTCTCTTTGTCCACATGGCTCCCTGTCTCATTTTGACGTCACCTTCATCTATATATGATTATCTACGGGTCGTTGACACCGCGCCTCGTCTTCTTTAATGCGTCAATTGTCGTCGGTGCTCGCGTGCGTTTATCAATTCGACGTAATGGTTCCTATGAATAGAAGGTAGCAATTGCTTTAATTTCGTGGCCCGACATTTTGAAATATCCTGCAGAAATGCGGCGGACGCGACGACGGTGGTGGCTATCTTATCATGCAATAAATTATCTTCCGTCTCTACTCTCATTCGCACTATTGCAACGCGTAGGAAATAAAGTTAAAGAGTTCGTGATAATCTCTTCTCCGCCAAAGTGGCTATTCGTTGTGTACGCGTTGTTTGAAATTGCAGCTTGTTTCGGCACGGCGTGCAGCAACACGGAATCGGCATGTCATGTACGCTGTCGCTTAATTATGTTACATCTAGTTGCGAAACCAATAAACCGTCGTCAAAGCAATTTCCATGGCAACGATGAAACGTTGCTGCAGAATTCGAAACCGTAACTCGCTCACAATAACTGCAAATGACAAATCAAGCCGCGGAATTACGGTATTATAATTTTCGCTGCGACGTTT